CGCCAAGGGGTGGACCCGCCACCCCAGGCGAGGTGCACTTCCGTGTGACAAGGTTCATCATGGAGGCAGGTAACCGTGGCCGGGAAGAGAGTCAGTCCCGCGCGGGCGGGACGTGGAGCCCAGGGTCTGCGGGTCGAGGCCAGCGTTACGGGGCCCCGATTCCCGGCGGAGGGGACCCCTCACCACGCGGAGCCCGCGTGGCTGGGCAGAGGGAAGAGATCGGGCCTGAACCGGGCCTCTGCCTTCCGCCACGCCCTGGGTACTACGCTTTGAGTTGCAAGGCAGACGTGGGCATTGTCATTTCACCACCCTGCTCTCAGGCCCAAAAGAGAGGAACTGGCCCCAGCGAGAAGGTGGCCGAGTCGGGGTGCCTGCAGCTAGTCGAGTGCATTGTGCCTTTTGCCACTCCTGTCCCGCAGCACAGGGACACTGCATGGCACTTGGTTGCACCGCCTTTTGAGCACGTGCTTGCAGAGGCTCGTGACCAGCCTTGTTAGAGAGGTCCTGTCACGCCGAGGGCGCCCACCGTGGTTTTGGGCGCCCCTGATCCCAAGTTAGGCAAGGAAACAATGGGATTCCTGGAGAGACATTGTTCAGCTGTCAAAAGTATCTTAATCAGCTGGCAGACGGTTACTTTCTACGTTTGTTACTTTGTATGCACTTTGAGGGAGGGGGGTTGGATGAGTCTCAAGTCAAGGTGGGCAGTGTGTGGCAATGATGCAAAACCATAATATTTCTAAGAAGAGTTGCAAAGTGGCGGTGTCCCCTCAAATGCTCTATTCGTCTACCCGGAGGTCCATGTAAAGCAGGGAGAGCAAGCTGCCCTTCAAGAGTTGGCTGCATAAAACAAAACTTGGTGGAAGGTCAGATGCAGCAATACCACCGTATTGACATCTCTGGGAATAAGGGGTCCCATGTAGCAACTGTTGATGTAACTGAAGTTTAAATTATATATATATATATTTGAGAGAGGAAGGGAGAGAGAGAGAGAGAGAGAGAGAGAGAGAGAGAGAGAAACAGAAACATCAGTGATGAGAGAGAATCATCGATCAGCTGCCTCCTGCACGCCTCACACTGGGGATCGAGCCCACAACCTGGGCGTGTGTCCTGACTGGGAATCGAACCGTGACCTCCTGGTTCATAGGTCGACACTCAACCACTGAGCCACATGCTGGCCGGGCTGAAGTTTAAATCTTGAAATACTTAAAGCTCTTTAGGTATCACTTTAGAAAGACTTCTCTATTAAAACATATTGCCTATGCCTTTGCCTTCTGTGCGAAGCTGAATACTGGTCCTGCGGAGATGTTCCCATTCTCAGCCCCGGAACCTGCGATTGTTACCTTATGTAGCAAAAGAGACTTGACAGGTGGACTTAAGCATCTTGCGCTGGGGCAGTGGTTCTCAACCTTGCTAATGCCGCGACCCTTTAATACAGTTCCTCATGTTGTGGTGACCCCCAATTTCATTGTTACAAATTGAATATAATTGAAGCATAGCGATTAATCACAAAAACAATATGTAATTATATATGTGTTTTCCGATGGTCTTAGGCGACCTCTGTGAAAGGGTCGTTCGACCCCCAAAGGGATCTCGACCCACAGGTTGAGAACCGCTGCGCTGGGGGAATTATCCTAGAGTCTACTCTAGACCTAGAGCACAGAGAGAGAGGCAGGGGAGGGACGGGCAGAAGAGAAGGCCATGTGATGATGGAAGCAGAGTTAGAAGATGCTACACTGCCTGTTTTGAAGATAGAGGAGGGGGCCACGAGCCAAAGACTGCAAGTGTGACCAGAAGCTGGAAAGGGCAAGGAAACATTCTCCCCTGGAGCCTCCAGGACGAACCAGTCCTGCCAAGCACCTTGAGCTTACCCCCCCAAGACTCATTTTGGACTTCTGACCACCGGGATTGTGAGAGGGAAAAAAAAGTGTGTTGTTTTAAGCCACTGAGTTTGTGGTAATTTGTTAAAAGTAGCCCTAGGGAACTGATACAGTTTCTCAGGCAGAGGATGTTGAAAGTGATCGCAATGATTGTTGGTGGTTCTCCACCTTCTTTCAATTTATTGGATGCCATTTCACCTTCTCTTGTTAATCCTGGTCATTTGTTTTGGTTCTCTGACCCATCACAGTGATTTCCTTAGACCCGTGATGGCGAACCTTTTGAGCTCGGCGTGTCAGCATTTTGAAAAACCCTAACTTAACTCTGGTGCCGTGTCACGTATAGAAATTGTTTGATCTTTGCAACCATAGTAAAACAAAGACTTATATTTTGGCATTTATTTTATATTTTTAAATGCCATTTAACAAAGAAAAATCAACCAAAAAAATGAGTTCGTGTGTCACCTCTGACACGCGTGTCATAGGTTCGCCATCACTGCCTTAGAAGTTCTAGGGGTGGAGTAGAGGGAGAGCTTTAACCCGTAAAGCAAACCACCTTGTTATGTTTCTGTTTGTCTGTTTGTTTTAGAGAGAGAGAGGAAGGGAGAGGGAGAGAGAAGGAGAAACATCGATGTGAGAGCCGAGCATCCATCAGCTGCCTCCTGCCCATCCCCTTCCTGGGATCAAGCCCGCAACCAGGCATGTGCCCTGATGGGAATCGAACCAGCAGCCTTTTGGTGCATGGGACGACGCTCAACCAACTGAGCCACACCGGCCCGGGCTTTTTTTTGAGTTCTGTTTCCTTGTCAGTTTTCCTCCCTGGGCCTGGCTGTGGCTTTTTTCCTGCTCTGCCTGCAGTTGCCTTTGGCGGGCACTCTGCTTGCCTTTTCTAACCTGCAGGCTAGGAAACCAGTGCTGAATAAAACCTGTTTTTAAAAAACAAACATATTTTATTGACTTAAGAGAGGAAGGGGAAGGGAGAGAGGGAGAGAGAGAAACATCAATGATGAAAGTGAACCGTTGATCAGCTGCCTTCTGCACGCACCACACGGGGGATCGAGCTCTCAACCTGGCCTTGTGCCCTGACTGGGAATTGAACTGTGACTTCCTGGTTCATAGGTCAATGCTCAACCACTGAGCCACACTGGCTGGACAAGTATAATCTTTTTGGGGGGGGGGTTAAATTGATTTTTTAGAGAGAAAGGAAGGGAGAGACAGAAAGAGATAGTGATAGAGATATAGATAGAGATAGATAGAGAGAGAAAGAAACATCAATGTGAGAAACAGCAATTGGTTGCCTCCTGCACACATCCCGACTGGGGAAGGACGGAACCTGCTCCCTGGGGATGTGCCCTGACTGGGACTTGAACTCCCCACCTTCTGGTGTGTGGCTGATGCTCCCACCAACAGATCCACACTGGCCAGGGCCTGAGTCTCCTGTTTACATTGATTGATTGATTGCATTTATTGGGGTAACGTTGGTTAACAAACCCCAGGACTGGTCACCTCAGGACTGTGATATCTGTCTGATGCTCAGAGGCCGTTTTTCGCTCCTGCCATCTTGGCAGGAGTTTGGTTAGCGGAGCTGAGGGAGCGGTGCTGATCTCTAGTTAAGCACTTGCTGGCAACACACATACAACAGTGGGGTGGTCCTTTCAGGATGTGCAGAAGCTGCGATGCCAGGAGCTGACTGAGCTGTAGTCTCATTGCTTCACGGGTGTGGTCTGCAGAGCGGAAGCTGGGGGTGTCCTGGGGGCATGGGAGAAGAGCAGGATCTGCTGAGTTACTGGAGCTTTGAGCACAAGCCCTAGGGGCCCGTTAGGCCATTAGAGTCTGGGAAGGCTGGCTCTAAGCCCCTCAGGCCGAGGACTCCAGTGAAAGACCCAGTCACTGCTGGCTGGGCTCTAAGATCTTGGTCTTGTCCCAGCAGGTCTGTGCCTTAGGGCGCAACCCAGCAGCGCCCCTCACCCTGGAGGAGGGGGTGGGCGCTGGGTTGAGGTATCTCCTGCCTATTTTCTCTCGGTAGGTGTCAAGCTAGGGATGCAGTCCATTCCCGTCGCCACCGCCTGTGCCATTTACCATAAGTTCTTCTGCGAGATCAACGTGGACGCCTATGACCCCTACTTGGTCGCCATGTCTGCCCTTTACTTGGCTGGCAAAGTGGAAGAACAGCCCCTGCGAACGCGTGACATCATCAACGTGTCCAACAGGTGACAGCTTCCGGGCCCAGGCCTTTGGGGACACTTCCTGGTGTCCACCCGATGGGGAGGACAGAGGAGGGTCCCACTGTGCCCTGCCTCCCAGGCACTAGCAGTCAAGCTTTGAAGGAAGCACCTGGGTGGCCTTGAACCAGGGCTGGAAGTACCAGCAGCAAAGGTGGCAATGAGCCCGGCCGGCGTGGCTCCGTGGTTGAGTGTTGACTTATGAACCAGGAGGCCACAGTTTGATTCCCTGTTGGGGCACATGCCCAGATATTGTGGGCCCTATCCCTGCGGGGGGTGGGGGAGGTGGGGGGGCATGCAGGAGGCAGCCGATCAATGATTCTCTCTCATGATTGATGTTTCTAGCTCTCTTTCCCTCTCTCTTGCTCTCTGAAGTCAATATATTAAAAAAAAAGTGGGAATGAGCTGGTGTCAGAAGCCTGGAGAGGGTCTGTGGGAAAGAAGTTGGACTAGATAATGGGAAGCCTCAAAGGCCAGATGGAGTGGGGAGAGGGTTGGTATGAAGAAGTCCGGGTGTCAGGGTGAGGGAGTAGGGAGGCATGGCATGGAGGGAGTAGGGAGGCATGGTCCATATACTCCCCTGTATGATGGGCTGACCTGTGGGGCCCACAGAACCCAACTAGTTCAGTCTTTCCTATCCAACACATCTCTCTAAGCTCCCTCATCCTCCGGAAATTCTGTTTCTTTGTTATGGGGCGGGGCCCAGAAATCAGGATTTTTAAAAAAGATTCCCAGGTGATTCTAATGTGCAGCCAAGGTTGAGAACCACTGGTGTAGAAGGTGAGAGAAACCAGTCAGAGCTGCTAAGGAGTGGCTCTGGCCCTGGTGTGGGCATCACCTATGGGCCCAAGCAACTGTGTTCCTGTAGGGCAGGGGTGGGGAACATCCGGCCCACGGGCCCTGAAAGGCCTGCAAAATCATTTGGTCTGGCCCTTCCAAGGCATTAGGGGTGAGTTAATTAAATGATTGACCAAATAAAGCAGGCTATTTTTTTAAAAAAATATACAGTGGGGCCTTGACTTACGAGTTTAATTCGTTCCGTGACGGAGCTCGTAACTCAGATTACTCGTATGTCAAATCAACAGTGAACGAGTGAGACACGTGATGCTGGGCTGATGTTGAAGGTGGCTCGTAACCCGAATTTTAGCTCGCAACTCAAAGCAAAAAATCGGCCGAGAGACGGCTTGTATCTCGAAAAACTCGTTAGTCAGGACACTCGTAAGTCAAGGCCCCACTGTATATTTTTATTGATTTCAGAGAGGAAGGGAGAGGAAGAGACAGATAGAAACATCAGTGATGAGAGAGAATCATTGATTGGCTGCCTCCTGCATGCCCTGCACTGGGGATCAAGCTGACAACCCAGACATGTGCCCTTGACCGGAATTGAACCCAGGACCCTTTAGTCTGCAGGCCAATGCTCTATCCACTGAACCAAACTGGCTAGGGCTAAAGCAGGCTAATTTTTAAGTGGATCATTTTGTATGGCCTGTGAATAATGTTATAAATATCCACACGGCCCTTGGCAAAAAAAAGGTCCCTCACCCCCTGCTGTAGGGGAAGGATGTGGGGTCCAGCCAACGGGTGGGCTGCATCGAGGCCCTCAGGGCCCAGGAGAAAGTGATTTATGGAAAGTTACTGGTTAGCGGGGCCTCATCGCAGGCCCAGGAACTCTAATCATTAGGGAAGAAAACTGTTCTGTGCTGTTTCTCTTTTAATAAACAGGTTAGAGAAAAAAGCACACCCCACCTACTAAAAGCACGGCAGGTTCACAGTGTACCTCAAAAGACTAAGAGGAAAACAGGAGAGGGCAGTGAGGGAGGGCGGCAGGAGTCCACCCATAATTGCCAGGCCGCCAGCAGGGAGCACTGGCAAGAGGGGAAATTGTATTGATCGCTAATTGGACATGGGGCCCAGGTGGGGTTCTGTGGGAACTGGAAAATGAGTGAGGAGCTAGGAAGGATGAGTCATCGGCAGAGAGGTTTTTAGTTTTTTTTAGAGAATGGAAGGGATGGGGAGAGAGAGAGAGAGAGAGAGAGAGAGAGAGAGAGAGAGAGAGAGAGAAACATCGATGTGACAGAGACACATTGATTGGTTGCCTCCCACAGGTGCCCCAACCAGGGCCGGGGATCAAGCCTGCAGCTGAGGTATGTGCCCGTGACTAGAACCGAACCTGGGACCCTGCAGTCCGAAGGCCAACGCTCTATCCACTGAGCCAAACCGGCTAGGGCCAGAGAGCCTGCCTTTATACTTTTTAAAAAAATATTTTTTTATTGATTTCAGAGAAGAAGGGAGAGGGAGAGAGAAACATCAATGATGAGAGAGAATCATTGATCGGCTGCCTCCTGCATACCCCCTACAGGGGATTGAGCCTGCAACCCAGTCATGTGCCCTTGACTGGAATCGAACCCGGGACCCTTCAGTCCACAGGCCAACACTCTATCCTCTGAGCCAAACCAGCTAGGGCTCACCTTTATACTTGACATCTTGCTGGGTGATATGGGACAGCCCATCAGGACTAAAAGTAGAAGTTGGCTTCTCTCTTCCATTGGTTACTGTTTTTATCCTGTACACTAGACATGTATATGAAAAACAATTTATAAAAACAGAAGTAGTCCTAGCTAGTTTGGCTCAATGGATAAAGCAGACCCAACGGTCCTGGGCTCAATTCCGGTCAAGGGCACATACCTCAGTTGCAGGCTCCTCCCCGGCCTGGGCCCTGGTTGGGGCACATGCAGGAGGCAACAAATCGATGTGCAACTCTCACATCGATGTTTCTCTCTGTCTTTCCCTCTCTCTTCCATTCTCTCTAAAAATCAATGGAAAACTATTCTCGGGTGAAGATTAAAACAACAACAAACGACAACAACGAAAAACAAGACAGGAGTAGAATGACACTTTTGTTTGTTTTTTTAATAAATTTTATTTATTTATTTTTTAAAATATATTTTTATTGATTTCAGAGCAGAAGGAAGAGGGAGAGAGAGATAGAAACTTCAGTGATGAGAGAGAATCATTGGTTGGCTGCCTCCTGCACGCCCCCCACTGGGGATCGAGCCCGCAACCCGGGCATGTGCCCTTGTCCAGGATCGAACCTGGGACTCTTCAGTCCGCAGGCCCACGCTCTATCCACCGAGCCAAACCGGCTAGGGCGAATGACACTATGTTAATCATAGTGCAGAACCAAGTATGACACTATGTTAATCAAGCAGTTGGATATTGGAGTTTAGAACTGGACATCACGTGACTTCAGGGGCTGCTCAGGGCCACTTCCCTGGCTGCTGTAAGCATCGCCGTTTCTCCACAGGTACTTCCACCCGGGCAGCGAGCCCTTGGAACTGGACTCCGGATTCTGGGTGATCCGGGACAGCATTGTGCAGTGCGAGCTCCTTGTGCTGCGGGTACTGCGCTTCCAAGTCTCCTTTCAGCACCCACACAAGGTACGGGCCTCTTCGTTCTTTATACCGGAAGTGCACCCATCGAATCCTCGAGAGCACATGGGGGACGTTAGAAGGGCAGGGTCACAGCTGGGCACCGGGGCTCCCGATGGCATGCAGTGACTGGCTCAGGCAGCCTCTCCTGTCCCACTTGTGGAGTTTTCTGAGGTTCTGCCTTTCTGCCTGCTCAGCTGTGGCCACGAGCCGGGATCCGGGCTGTCCTCTGAAGCCCTTGACGTTCCCGTGACCCACATATACTGTGCGCTCAGCGAGCCACAGGAAACAGGGCTGGTTTGTGATCTACTAAAGTTCCTGTCCCCAAGAGCTGCTGCTCTGCCTCGGAGTTTGCATCCAGTTCATTTTTTTAAAAAATTGATTTTTAGAGAGAGGAAGGAAGAGAGAAACAGAGAGAAGGAGAGAAACATTGATGTAAGAGTGTCACATCGATTGGTTGCCTCCCACATGCGCCCCAACTGCCAGGGATCGAACCTGCAACCGAGGTACGTGCCCTTGACTGGGAATGAAACCCAGGATCCTTCAGTGTGAGGGCCAACGCTCTAACCACTGTGCATATCGGCACACTTTTGACTACTAGAACAAATAAATCCCAACAGAAGAACAGTTTCAAACAGCAGCAAAAGGATCACATTAAACCCTTAAAGCACTTGGACATTGGGCGCGGGGGGTGGGGGGGGGTGTGGGGCTCTGTGCCAGGATTTTGTTTCTTTGTAATTGAATTTTTATTGAGGTAAGTGTAGATATATAAGCAGTTGGAGATAACACAGAGACACCCCATTTAAGATAGACACTTTGCCCAGTCTCGCTGAATGGAAACATTTTGTAAAATGAATACAATGTAGCAGCCGGAGTGTGGGCATGGCTGCAGTGCCCTGGTTCCTGGTGTTACCTCGTTACTTGTACTGCGCTGGTGCCATACAATATAATTTATGCTCGTGTGTCATGTATCCACCACCCCAGTTAGATACAAAACAACTCTTATCACCTCAAGGATCCCTCATGTTGCCCTTTTTTATAATCTCACCCCTCCCTTCCACACCACCAACCTACTCCTGAAACCCCTGGCGGCAATTTTGAAAGTTGCGTTTTCCTGGCGCCGGCTCGATGCAGGGGCAAGGCAGGAGGGCCCCTGGCTCTGCCAGGCAATCAGAGGGCAGAGTCCTGGGAAGAATAGCACCCGCTGGGAGGGAGCCCAGTGTGACCTGCGAGCGAGCTGTGCCTTTCCCTTCCATAGGGGTCAGGGAAGCGGTGGGTGAGGCCCCTCTTCCAGGTGTGCTGGAGCCCCACGCATGTGGGGGGCAAGGCTTACTAGTGTGTTCAATTGAGCAGGAGGTTCAGGCAAAGCAGCCGTCTCCCCAGGGCGGGAGCTGACATAACTGAACTGGAAGTTCATTGACGAAGAGCTCACAGCCATGGGCGCTGTTGCAAAATGCAGTCACCTGTCTCTAGTTCCCCCGAAAGCAGGGTCCTGTCTCATCTGGGCATAAGGGTGCCATGCTCTGTTTTGTAGATGAGGGTGCTGTCTCCGGGGCTTATGTTTGAGGGGGGTATGGGGGGGGGGCAGCAATGCTGACGGTGGCCAGAGCAGGGCCATGCGATGGAGAGGGATTTCGCGGAGGTGGCCATTAAGAGTGGTCCAGGCAGGTTTTGGGAGCGGGGCCTGGGGGACAGTGGTGGGTGGACACGTGGGGACTGGGACAGGAGTAGAGATGATTTCAGGCCGAGGGAGCAGCGGGTGTCAGGGCCCTGAGGTGGAGGCCCCTGGCGGTCAAACACAGCAGGAAGGTGGGGTGCGGGCGACGAGGCCGAGAGGGAGGCCGGGCTCGGATGCCAGCGGAAGGCACTGGGGCTTTATTCTAAGTGACAGAGCACCGCTGGAAGGTTTGATCAGGAGGTGACTCGGGCCCATCTGTATTTTATATACAGTGGGGCCTTGACTTACGAGTTTAATTCGTTCCCAGACCGAGCTCATTAAGGAGTTCATTAACTCAAATTACTCTGTCAACTCAAAGCAAAAAATCGGCCAAGAGACAGCTGGTATCTCAAAAAACTCATTTGTCGGGACACTCGTAAGTCAAGGCCCCACTGTACATCGAGACAGCTTCCGGGAGAGTGGCTGGCGGGCGGAGGAAGCGCAGTGCCCCACAGTGAGGAGGCGGGTGACTGGGGGCCAGAGCCCTGCGAGCCAAGAGGCTGACTGGCGTGTCTTTGCAGTACCTGCTCCACTACCTGATTTCTCTCAAGAACTGGCTGAATCGTTACAGCTGGCAACGGACCCCCATCTCCGTCACTGCCTGGGCCCTGCTGCGGGACAGCTACCACGGGGGGCTGTGCCTCCGGTTCCAGGCTCAGCACATAGCGGTGGCGGTGCTCCACCTGGCCCTGCAGGTCTATGGGGTCGAGGTGCCCGCCGAGGCCGAGGCCGAGAAGCCATGGTGGCAGGTGAGGTGACTGCTCAGTGCACGGGCATGTGTTCCCCTTTCCTTTGCCTGAGGACTTACAAGTCCCTGTCTCTTTGTAGCGATGATCCAGCAGAGAGATGTGGGCCACTTGGGAACATGGAAGCTTGCAAATGCCCTGTCATTTCTAAGTCGAAGGCAGGGACGCTCCCCTTGGCACTGTGGGCGTCTGGGGCTGGACCATTCTCTGTGCTGAGGCATCCTGGGCACTAGGATATTGAGCAGCATCGTTGGCCTCTGGCCATTCAGAGCCAGGGGCATCTCCCCACTAGTCATAGCAACCAAAGATGTCTCTAGATATTGCTAAGTGTCCTGGGCTAGGGGTCCCCCCAGTTGAGAATTACTGAGCTCAGTCAAGCACTTTTAGTGAATGGAGTGGAAGCTTGTGTCATAGGTCAGAGGTTAATAAACTTGGCTTCGCATCAGAAGTATGGGGGGTGCTCGAAAACAGCGGTCGCCAACTGGTGGTCCATGAGGTCTGAAAGGCTGGTGACCGCTGCTCTAAAAAGATGGTTGGATGATGGGTAGGTAGATAGATGCTGGAGAAAGATAGATAGCTAGAAGATGGATAGATGGATAGATTAGATGGATGAATGATAGGTAGATAGATAGGTGATAGCTTTAGTGGTAGATAGGTAGAGAGCTAGCTAGATGGATGGATGGGTGAATAGATTGGCTAGATGATAGACAGGTAGAGAGAGAGGAGAGGATGGTGGGTAGGTTCCCCTGCAGAATCCAAAGTGACATCTGTAGAGAGCAAGGTGACATCTGTCTGTCAGAAGGGCTGTACTCAAGGACTTCCGCCCTCTGTCAAATTTCCCCCGGGTGGTCCCCTTATTTTAGAATGGGATGTTCAGACCATTTTCTGTTTGTTTTTTTCTTTTCCATACTTGAAGTCTGATGCTCCTCTCTTCATAACACCTCATTGTCTAGCCTTGGTCTAAAACAAGCATGTCAAACTCAAAGCCTAACACGGGCCAAATAAACAAGGTTGAAGTTTATGTGGCCGCAGAAACACAAAAGCTTCAACTTTCATAGAAACATAGGTTTATTTCGATAGAGACATGCTGAATGCAAAGGGCTGAAATAAATGAGTCATCGTTCACATAAAATAATAGAACATTTTAATAAAAATTAATATTTTTTCTTGAACATTAACTTACCAGACACTGAATAACTGCACAAATTAATAAGCATCACACAAATAAACCTATTTTTCTTGTTCTCTGAAAGTGAAATATTTCCTGTTGTGCACACCAAACAAGTCAGTCCAAGACTAATGACGTCATAATCGACTACCAAAATATTCAGGGCTATTATTAGCGGAGAGAAATGGTGCGCCTGTGCGTAATACGCATAAGGGAAATGAATGCAACACGATGATAGTAATCAGTCATTAGCGAGAGTTGTAGTTCATTATTAATAATCTATAATAATAAAAGCATAATATACTAATTAGACCAACGTCCTTCCAGACAAAGCTGGGGCTTCGAGGGCCGAGCCCCTTGCACGAATTTCGTGCATCGGGCCTCTAGTTATGTATAACAGTATTGGCTAGGCTGCAAAAATATTCATTGTGGGAACGTTTCTTACATAAGGTTATATTGGCTAGGCTGCAAAAATACTCATTGTGGGCTGCGTGCGCCAGCTGCGAGTTTGTCCCCTTTTGGTGTACCCCCCTCCTGCACAAACCCACAGTGGCCAGAAGTCTTCTAAATGTGTCGGTGTACCCCCCTCCTGCACAAACCCACAGTGGCCAGAAGTCTTCTAAATGTGTCATCGATTATCAATTTCCCATAAGGGAATGTGCCCCATGGGTGCTGTCCTGGACCAGCTCCTCACTACCTCCCCCCGCCCCCCCGCTCCCCTCTTGCAGCTCTTGGCTTACATGGGACCTCCCCGTTCCTGACACCCCCTCCCCGCGCTCTGCTTGCCCTCCATGGGAGTCCACAGTTTTCCCTTCTCTGCTCTGCTGGCCTTTATTGTCTGTGGAATTCCCCCCACCACCCCTCGCCAGACTATAAATGCCTGGAGGCCAGGGGTCTTGTCTGCTTTATCAACTGCCTCGCGTCCAGTGCCTGGACCTGGCACATAGTAGGTGGTCACATGGCTAAACAAATGCATCCATAGCCCCATCTTGGGCCAGATGCACCCGCATAGCATGGCCATGGAAGGGCATCTATGCACAGAAAGTATTGCTCCACGCATGGGCTTCGCGGGGCTCCCAGATCCCGTGCCTGCAGTGTCCCTGCTCTGTTGCAATCAGGTGGTGGCAGAGGACCTGCCAGTCCCTGGCCCTGTTTTCTCGGGGCACCTGGTGGGCACGGAGGCCCCAGTCCCTCAGCTGCTTGGATCTGCAACGTCGTCACTGGTTTCCACTGTCCCTGCGTCTCTCCTCTGTGTCTGCCTTCCTGCGCTCCTTCCTCTTCACTTGCTCCTGGCCGTCCCTGGACGCCACTATACCTACCGCCTCTGCTTCAGACTCTCGCTTCACGCTCTAGGCTCTTGCGAGAGAAAGGCGCCGGGAATCGGCTCCACTAGGACCCTGTTTTCTGGGCGCCACAGACTTAACCAGTAATTGTTACAACTGGGAAGAAGCGGCTTCTTCGAGGGTGGGGCGCTCAGGTTCACCCAACTCCTCACCTTTTCTGGATGATTCTGGGCCTGGTGCACTGTGTGCGTCCTGGGCACCCTGTGGACTCTGCGAGCTGTGAGCGCCAGCTCCCCATGGCGCCTGCCTGCCCCATCCTGACACCCATGTCTGATCTGTAAACACTTTCTCTGCTCGCATGCTCTCCGCCGCCACTGTTTGCAGCAACCGCCTCTCTGTTGTCACTTGTCTGCTGGGGGCTGGGGCTCCGCCGTGCAGTCAGGAGACTTAGCCAAGCTTGACGCGCTTGCCCACCAGAAGCCTGCGCTCGACTGTGCCTGCGGCCGCCGGCCTCTGTGCTAGGCCGGGTCCAGCCTCTGGGTCCGTGAGGCACCGCCTCCAAATCAGTAGTGTGTTGGAGTATGTGTCAGTTTCCGCCCTCTTTAAGGCTGCATACTAGGCCATGGTCTGGGTGGACCACATTGTGTTTGTCTAGCCCTCCATGGAGGGGCGCTTGGGTGGCTTCCAGCTTTTGGCCGTGGACTACTTTAGTTATTTTATTTTATTTTTTGCCTCAAAAAGTGTTATTTATTCAAAGGGAAAAGAAAAGAAAAAGAAAAAAAATGACAAGATGTCCATCCCTTGGCTCCCTTCCCTCCCCCCTCCTGCTCCTCCTCAGCCTGCCCCTCTCCGATGAGGTCAGCAACATTGAGGGGCATCTCCTCGATGGAGGTGTAGAACAAGCAAGTCAAACTCAAAGGCTAACACGGGCCAAATAAACAAGGTTTAAGCTTATGCGGACCGCAAAACAGCAAAAGCTTCAATTTTCATAGAAACGTAGGTTTATGTCGATAGAGACATGCTGAATACAAAGGGCTGAAATAAATGAGTCATCGTTAGTGTAAAATAATAGAACATTTTAATAAAAATTAATATTTTCCTTGAACGTTAACTTACCAGACACTGAATAACTGCACAGATTAATAAGCGTCACGCAAATAAACCTAGTTTTCTTGTTCTCCAAAAACGAAATATTTCCTGTTGCGCACACCAAACAGGTCAGTCCAAGACTAATGACGTGGCCATCGGCTGCTGAAATATTCGCTGCTGGTATTAGTGGAGAGAAATGGTGCGCCTGCGCACAAGGCACGTAAGGGAAATGAATGCTACACAATTATAGTAATCAGTCATTAGTGAACATTGTAGTTCATTATTAATAATTGTGTATAACAGGATATTGTAAAAATGAAGTTATGAAATTTTTATTAAAACGTTTCTTACACACCTTTACATTGGCTGGGCCGCACAAATATTCATTGTGGGCCGTGTGAGGCCTGGGGGCCGCGAGTTTGGCATGCTTGTTGTAGAAGGTCTCAATGTCTCAGAGTCCTCTTGTCTTTGGCCCTGGACTACTTTAAAAAATATATTTTTATTGATTTCAAAGAGGAAGGGAGAGGGGGAGAGAGAGCTAGAGACAGAAACATCAATGATAAGAAAGAATCATTGATGGGCTGCCTCCTGCACGCCCCACACTGGGAATAGAGCTTGAAACCTGGGCATGTGCCCTGACGGGGAATCAGCCGTGACCTCCTGGTTCATAGGTCGATGCTCATCCACTGAGCCACACCAGCCGGGCACGGACTACTTTTTAAAGGTCACTTCTCGGCTTGAGGTCTCTGGGAGCACACAGGTAGTGGACCCTGCCAAGCAAAACTAAAACGAGTCTACATAGAGCGGGTGCAGGAGAGACGGGGCGCAGCTTCCAGGTCCCGGCACTGATGTGACAACATGCACGGGCGCTGCCACCAGGAAAGCATCCCTGGCCGCGGTGTGCAGGGACTTTCCCGGGAGTGGGTCCTGCAGGCCCGGGGCGCCCACGTGGCTGACCTCGGTCTCAGTCTCCGGCCCCTGGTGGTCAAGGTCGTATGTTGGGCCCATGATCAACCTGGGTAGGTGGGGACTGAACTGGCTTTGCAGAGAGCCGCCGTCACCTCCAATAGCAAGTCCCTGTGCCGTCCCCCCATGCAACGGGAGTCGACACTTAGCGGCAGGAGCCTCGGTTAACACAGAGGGAGTCTAATCGGAACCTGTTTTCCTTCTCCTTTCTAGGTGTTTAGTGACGACCTTACCAAGCCAATCATTGATAACATTGTGTCTGATCTCATTCAGATTTATACCATGGACACAGAGATCCCCTAAGGCCCTGGTCCAGGCCTGCCCAAAGAGAAGCCTGGGACGCTCGGCTGCCAGGGGACGGCGCCACCACATCGCCGTGACGGCCGGTCCCCAGAGGACTGGCTGGGAGGACTGGTTTTGTGCTGCTGGAGAAGGGCCGGTGAAGGCGATGACATGCTGCCACTTTGATTCTCAGGCTTTGACTGTCCCCGGCAGCCATGGTCCAGATGGTGACGGGAGCTGCACCTCCCGCGGGCAGGAGCGTGCTGTGGGCGGCTCTGAGGCGTCCGGGTCTGCTTTTGTCCTTTGAAAGGACAGAGACTACAGTCGAGGTTTGGGATCAGTGGAAGGAAAATCAAAGAACGTATGGGACTGTACCCCAGGGGATTTTTTTAAAGGCCAGATTTATAGAAAGTATGAATGAATTAACATAGAGGAAATTTTATTTTGTTTAATAAAAGATATTACAAAGCCACAGAGTTTCTTTGCTTTGGAGCCAGTGTTGCCGAGGGCATTTAGGGGTGCTGTCCTGGCTTGGTTTCCCCTCAAATGCTCTGCTGTCCACGTGGGATTGTCCCCGGTGCTCCTGAGATGGTCCTGGGGCAGGCTCTGCATCGCCTCCTGAGGGCACGATGGCACAGCGCATGCCCATGTCATGCCGATGTCTTAAAGGAGCCTACGTGTCATCACTCCTCCTCCACTGGGACATTCACAGGGCTTGGCTTGGCAATCGTCCTGCTTGCTGCAGTGAGCATACATTTTGGGAAGGGGGCTTAGGGATTATCATTTGGGTTAAAAAACAAAACAAAACACGCCAGATCTGACTAAACTATAGGAAGTGATACACTTTTTTCTAAGCATTAATAAACTTTTTAATCACCTGAGGATATGATTTTTTAAAATATATTTGTATTGATTTCAGAGAGGAAGGGAGAGGGAGAGAGCTAGAAACATCAATGAAGAGAGAGAGTCATTGCCTGCCTCCTGCACGCCCCCTACTGGGGATGGAGTCCGCAACCCGGGCATGTGTCCTGACCGGAAATCGAACTGTGACCTCCTGGTTCATAGGTTGATGTTCAATCACTGAGCCACGCCGGCCGGGCAAGCTTTATTATTTTTTAGAGCAGTTTTAGGTTTATAGAAAAAATGATCAGGAATTACAGAGATTTCCCACATACCTTTGTTTACCCGCCCTCCCAAACACACACACACTATTTCCCCTCTTATGTAATTTACATCTTGCACTGGTGTGGTACATTTGTTATGATGAGCCAACATTGATACAGTATTATTAAAGCCCATGGTTTACATTAGGGTTCATTCTTTGGGTTGTAGATTCTATGGATTCTGACAAATGTATACTGACATGTATCCATCATGACTGTATCTTACAGAAGAGTTTCACTGCCCTAAGAATCACCTGTGCTCCATTCATCGCTACCTCCCTCCAAGTCACTACAACCAGTGATCTTCCAAAGCTCTTATGCTTTGTCTTTCGGAAGTCCATATAGTTGAAATCATAGAATATGTAACCTTTTCAGATTGGCTTTTTTCACCCAGCAGGAAGTAATAAATGTTTTATGCCAAGATACCGAGTCTAGATGGGGAGTCTAGAGAATCGCAGAACCATGGCACCCCATCCCCATCCCCATCCTGACTCCCACTCAAAAGGCACCTCTTTTTTTTTAAACCCTCATGTGAGGATAATTTTTCCATTGATTTTTAGAGAGTGGAAGGGAGGGAGAGAGAGAGAGAGAGAGAGAGAGAGAGAGAGAGAGAGAGAGAGACATTGATTGGTTGCCTCCTATACTGACCAGGGCTGGGAATCGAACCTGTAACTGAGGTACATGCCCTTGACTGGGAATTGAACAAGTGACCCTTTGGTCTATGAGTGGATTCTCTAACCATTAGGCAGGATGGGCCAGGGTGGCACCTCTTTTTATTTTTATTTATTTATTTATTTTTTTAATATATTTTATTGATTTTTTACAGAGAGGAAGGGAGAGGGATAGTTAGAAACATCGATGAGCGAGAAACATCGATCAGCCGCCTCCTGCACACCCCCCACTGGGGATGTGCCCGCAACCAAGGTACACGCCCTTGACCGGAATCGAACCCGGGACCCTTCGGTCCGCAGGCCGACACTCTATCCACTGAGCCAAACCAGTCAGGCAGGCACCTCTTTTTAAAAATAAATACGTTTTTATTGATTTCAGCAAGGAAGGGCGAGGGAGAGAGATAGAAACATCAATGATGGGGATCGAGCCTGCAACCCGGGACTGTGGCCTGACAGGGGTTGGTGCTCAACCACTGAGCCACACCAGCTGGGCTCAAAAGGCATCTCTTCAGGAAGGACAGCTCTTGGGTGCATTAGAGAAGCAGACCAGCCTGGGTTGTCCCTGGGAACCCCCACTGGGCTCCATGCACACTGGTAGGACCGTCCTATCAACACATGATGGCGTAGGGTCTGGGGGACTGTCCCGGGCACTTCCCTTCCTTTGGGAGGTTGTTACCAGGGGAGTGTGGGCTGTGGACACTGGCTGCCATGCCCTATGGCGCCACTGGCGTGGGGATGGCTGGAGTGCCTGGAGCCCACCAAGGTAGCTTTGGCGCTCTCCTCCCTGGTTGGGGGCACAAGGAGGGGTCACACACTCGTGACCAGTCAGGCACTGGGGCTTGCTTGAGTTTACGAAGTGACTGTGCTATTTATCTTCAGGGTCAAGGATCCAAGTACGTGTCCCCTTTCTTCTGTGTCCTTCCCAGATGTATACACCCAGCTTCATTGGGAGCCCTTGGAGCGCAGGGCCGGCACCCAGGCTCAGGACCCAGGGCTGGGACTCTGGGCTTGGAGGGTAGCAGTTGAGGGGCCCAGCCCAGCAGGCCTCTGAGGACAGCTTCAGGGCTCTTGCCAGTCCTTTCTGCTTCTGCTGTTTAGAAAGCACTCGAGTCCAGCTGGTGTGGCTCAGTGGTTGAGCGTTGACTTAGGAACTAGGAGGTCACAGTTCAATTCCCAGTCAGGGCACGTGCCCAGGTGGCGGGCTCGATCCCCAGTGTGGGGTGTACAGGAGGAAGCCAATCAATGATTCTCTCTCATCATTGATGTTTCTCTCTCTCCCTCTCCCTTCCTCTCTGAAATCAATAAATATTAAAAAAAAATCAGCCCTGACCGGTTTGGCTCATTGGATAGAGCGTCAGCCTGCGGACTGAAGGGTCCCAGGTTCGATTCTGGTCAAGGGCATGTACCTTGGTTGCGGGCACATCCCCAATAGGGTCTGTGCAGGAGGCAGCTGATGGATGTTTCTCTCTCATCGATGTTTCTAACTCTCTATCCCTCTCCCTTCCTCTCTGTAAAAAAATCAATAAAATATATTTTTAGAAAAAAAAATCACCTTGCCTCTGTCATGCCCTTCTTCCCTGAAACCGGGCACAGGCACCCCCGACCCTCCGTGCCCCAGGCCTTGCCTGTGCTGTGTTGACAGGGCCCTGCCCTTGGCCAACACTGACTTGATGTTAATGGAACTAAGAGAAGGATGTTTCACTTTGGGATTCCCTGTCGTCTCGGCCCTGGCGAGATCACAAGCTCTGACAGAAGCTTCCATTTCTTTGCATCTCCTCAGGGTCAGCTCCAGGGAGGCAGCTGCCCCATGCACTTGACCGGAGGCCTGCTCTCAGCTCTCAGCTCTCAGAAGGCAGAACCCCTGCTCTGGACAGGAGGGCTCTCCAACTACGCCTGTTCCAATGTGTCCCCTTCCCACACCCGGCCCAGGGCAGGTCAGAGCCAAGGGGATGGCTGGGTAAAGCTCCCTAAGGAATCAATGAGCATCCCCACATGCTAATGATAGCTACCATGCTGACCCAGGAGAGCATGGCCCAGAAAGCTCTGGGTGGCGGGGGCTAACACAGTCTCTATGGCGGATTTTGTGGGTCTAGGTTTCCTTTTCTTTCTTTTTTTAAAATATATTTTTATTGATTTCAGAGAGGAAGCGAGAAGGCGAGAAAGATAGAAACACCAATGATGAGAGAGAATCACTGATTGGCTGCTTCCTGCACGCCCCCTATTGGGGGTCGAATCTGCAACCTGGCCACGTGCCCTTGACTGGAATCAAACCTGGGACCCTTCAGTTCACAGGCTGATGCTCTATTCACTGAGTCAAACCAGACAGGGCTAGGTTTCCTTTTCATATGATGGAATACCAGGTGAGTGGCTTTCTCTCTATGGGACTCAGTTTCCCACTTTTTTTAAAAAAAGTGTTTTATTGATTTCAGAGAGGAAGGGAGTGGAAGAGAGAGAGAGAAACATTAGTGATGAGAGAGAATCATTGATTGGCTGCCTCCTGCATGCCCCCTCTTGGAGATCGAGCCCACAACCTGGGCATGTGCCCTGACTGGGAATTGAACTGAGACCTCCCGATTCATAGGTCGACGCTCAATCACTGAGCCACACCAGCTGGGCGAAGTTTCCCAATTTATAAGTTGATCAGGTTGGACCAAATCATCTCTGACTGTGATTGCTATTTTGAAATCCTTTGACTCAAAAAAAAGGGGGAGGGGGAGAAAAGCAAGAAGAATAAGAGGAGGATGATGAGGAGGAGGTGGAGGAGGAGGAGGAGGAGGAGGAGGAGGAAAAGAGAGGAGGAAGAGGAGGAAGGTGAAGAGGAGGAGGAGGAGGAGGAGGAAGAAGAAGAGAGGAGGAAGAGGAGGAGGAAGGAGAAAAGGAGGAGGAGGAGGAGGAGGAAGAAGAGAGAGGAGGAGGAGGAGGAGGAAGGAGAAGAGGAGGAGGAGGAGGAGGAGGAGGTCCCTTGATCTGATGGTGCCGTCACACTGCCCTGGGGACTTGCTGGCTTTGGGAGCCCTTGGAGGACCGGGTTGGCGTCCAGGCTCCGAACCCAGGGCTGGCCTCTGGGCTTGTCATCTCAGTGTGTGTCACTCTGTGTGTTTTCCTGATGTGGCCGAGGCTGGAAGCTCCGCTTTCCGCATGTGTTGTCATTGGAATAGAGATGAAGGGAAGGTATTGGGATGTAGGTGACACTGCCTGGGAATATGTGACATGCCAGCCGTTTTATAAGGACACTCGGACACAGGATATAAATGTGGTTTTTGTTGTTGTTGTTGTTCATTTGGGCTTCCTATTACCGTAAAAAATAATGGGGATTAAAGATATCTAATGTCCCCTCTCCTTTATTTTAGTGTCAAAAAGATCAGCAATGAGCCCAGCCGGTGTGGCTCAGTGGTTGAGCATTGACCTATGAACCAGGAAGTCACGGTTCAATTCTCATTCAGGGCACATGCCTGGGGTTTTGGACTTCATCCCCAGTGGGGGGTGTGCAGGGGGCAGCCGATCAATGATTCTCTCTCATCATTGATGTTTCTCTCTCTCTCCCTTCCTGTCTGAAATCAATGAAAATAATTTAAATAAGGTCAGTGAGAGACCGAGAAGATTGTCTCGGACCGGAAGCTCCCATGACTGTAAAGTGA